TCTGTTCCCATGCTGACTAACTGTTGCTGAACATTTGTTTCTTTTGTTCCTAACACTGCATATCCAGAATGTTGTCTTGTTTCTTTTTTCTTTAATATTGTAGCAGAAATTGTTGAAAAGTAGCAAATCTTTCCTTTCTGGCTCATTCCCTTTAAGATTTTAAATGAATAACTTTCTTTCTCACAATCTGATTTTGGAGAAACTATAAATGAAACTTCCATCATATTATTTTGCTGAGCTGGAAGATCTTCAACTAAAACATTGTGTGATTCCATAATACTGCCATTTGTATCATTTCCACTTGAATTTCCACAATGATTTTCACAAACAATAGTTTGCTCATTTCTATTATTTGCTGTATCAAAATTTGGTGTTTGTCTTATTTCTTCATTAGCAGATGCACTAGAAGGTAGCCTTTGAAGTGCAACAATGCATTTCTTCATTGATATGTCACAGCAAATGTTACAATAAAATGATTGATCTGTGAAAAAATATAAAAACATATTTGTAAGGAAGGATAGTGACAAAAAACTTAAACAAACCTTTATAATCCAAACATTTTTTATGTATTTTAAATAAATGACAGCAAAGCTGACATTTCTCTTGATTTTGTCTTCCATATATTCTCTCTTCACAAATGTAACAAATTGGTGCCATGTTCAATTTGGAATCTCTATCAATAACCAACTGTATAAATTTAAAAATTAAACAATTAACAATAATGATAAACAAAATGGCTGCTATAAAAATAAAGCTAATTTATAAATAAATCATTTCAACACAATATTCTATAACTTACTGATATCAATTCTAAAGTTTGTGTTTTGTCTGATGGTTTTCAATAGTGAAATATATTTCAAACTGCAAAAAATTCTGAAAAATTGTAGATGAAATATGCACAATATTCACTTTCCATGAAAAACATAGAAGATCCCAGAACTGTTTCCTGTCTGGATTTCAAAATGGCTACCAAAAGTGATTGCATTATGGGAATGTATTGGATATATCTCAAAATCAATAATAAAAATTTAAATTTGAAAAAGTATTTTTTAATATATTCTTCACATAGTGGACGTTTTCTCCAGTGGACGTTTTCTCCAACCAGTGGACGTTTTCTCCAATCAGTGGACGTTTTCTCCAGTGGACGTTTTCTCCAGTGGACGTTTTCTCCATAATTCTATTACAACATAACATTCAGTGACCACTTTCCAGTTGGATTTGAAATTCAATTCAAGATAAACTTAGAGGAGAAAATTCCTAAAGGAATAATTCATGTTCCATTTCAAAGTGAAAATCAGTTGAAAAGTTTGCAAGATTATTTTGATCCATTTTACATAATGAAACCTCACAATTTGTTTGATGATATGTGGCAAAAAAATGATTACTATACATGGCCAAAGATGTATCAAGTTGAAAAGCATCTTGATGATCATATTTTCAAAAATATTCTTCGAAGCAATTATAACACATTTTTTATGAAGACTTCAATATATATTGTGGACAATAATAATCATGGAGAATACTCATGTATTACAGATTTGAAAAGAAATTGCATAATATTTTACACAGAAGAAAATAGATTTGAAGAAGACTGTTGTCAAAAATACAAAGAGGAATTTATAATAAAATTTGTGGAAAATATTCAGCAAACTTATAAATATAAATGTAAATGTGCTGCATTCTACAATGAAAAATTTCAGTTATTTAAATGTTACGATATGTCTACAAATGACAAAATCATTATATATAAAGATGATTTTATTAAATCTGTGAAAAAGTACTATCTCAATTTCTGGTAAAAAGTGAAATTCCAGATCCTTATTATCACTGAACAATGACTAACTGACTAAAAGTCACTTTTCTGATTCATTTTATGTAAATCTTTTTCAATTGTTTGAAAATGTGCACTTGGAAATAATGGCATAATGATATTTAGACCTTAGATATGATAGAACTTTAGAAAGACTTTTCTTTTGTAGCCATTAAAATGGTGGAACATTGAAAAAGCTTTTATTTCCTAGAAATTATAATGGTGGAAGTTTAGAAAGATTTTTATTTCATAGAAATTTTAGTTGTGGGACTTTAGAAAGTCATTTATTTCGCAGGAAATAGATTCTTTGACCATAACAGATGGTGCCACTTTGGAATTAACAAAGGAACAAACAATATAGAAAAATGCATGTCAAAGTTGTTACATCTTTTTCAAAAACAGATATGGAAGAGGCAGGTTTGCTTTTGAAGTGCCACATGCTAACCATGTGTGATATAACAGTTTTCATGTTTTTGTTGTTCATGCATTATGAGACTGTTTCATTTCAACAGAGTAATTTCAATTAAACTCTTAGCAGTCATTTTATTTGAGATCTATCAAAACCAAAAGTAGAAGACATGGTTTTCTTTCACACAGGTGGCATGGACACTGTATATTTATTAGAAAATATTGGAATATTTTTGTATAATAATTCATATACAGATGTCGTTGCAGTCAATGAAGAAAGATAGAACATTCCCCATTTAAAACACATGAAGAAAAAATCCTCAACTACTTTTTAAATGTCCTATATCTATTTCACACTACTAGAATTAGATTAATTACATCTTCCGTTAGATGGAGCACTGATACTTATGTAATTTGAAACTACAGCAGTATTTCAAAAGAAATTAAATGTAGATATTTTGTCAAAAATCTACAGTGTTTTTGTTGTCCATTGCAATAAAATCTATACAAAATTATGCCTATACATTGAATAAATTATGGTTTAGAACTTCAATAAACAAAAAAATGAAGAATCCTTTTGTTCTTTGTTCCTTTGCCAATTCCATAGTAGCTCCATCAATTATGGTTAAAGAATCTATTGCTTATGAAATTAGAATTACTTCTTTAATTCTATCATTCTAAGTTGTATGAAATAGAAGCTATTCTAAAGTTCGTTTAAATCTGAAGTCTATGACATAAGATTAGCTGATTGGAATGAAGTGATAAGAGGTTTAATTTTATATAATAATAATTGTCATGTGGTTTTAAACTATAACCATGTTTTCCTAAATCCATGGCTATTAGTTAAAAACCAAAAAACATGACAAGTATACTCTGGAAATCAGGAAATAGAAATGATATGTTGGACAAATTTGAAAATATTCTATCTGGTATTGCTAAGTCAAAAAATACTTTAAAACATATTGAATTTATTTCTTGCAAATTGACAAATAAAATTGTGAATCTATTAAGAAATTATTAGGACTTTGTGATTCAATAGAAACCATCAAAATAAGACAGAAAAAAAACATGGGGCAAGAATCTTACAAACATGTAGAGGACTTATTCGTTCAAAGTCAACTTTGAAAATGATTGATATTAAACACTGTAACTTGACTGATAAGCAATGTGAAAAATTTGGATATATACTCAAAAAACACTTTTCAAATATAGAAATAATCAAAGCTGGCTTAGAGAAATGTTCAGTAAAAGGAGCTCAAGATATTTGTAATGGACTTTTACCATCATGTAAATCATTGAAAAATATTTCATTTTCAATCTGTCCATTTGAAGGTCTATTCAAAGTATTAGGAGATTTATTAAAACATTGCTCTGAAATAGAGACAATTGATTTATATGAGTATCACAGAAACAAAAATCAATTAGATTATTTTTGCAATGAACTTTTAAAATCATCAAAAACCTTGAAATGTGTGTCTCTTAGATATTGCAGTTTAAATAAAGAAGATAGTAAACTGATAGCAAATTATTTGAAAATTGCAAAAATCTTGAAAAAGTTAATTTAGGTAATAATGATATGGGAATTGCATTAGATGATTTGTAAAGGACTTACAAAATCATCAAAAACATTAAAAAATATCAATTTTGAAAATTGTTATTTAAATGAAGAAAGATGTATAATGATTGGAAAATTACTTGGCAAATGTTCTAAAATTGAACAAATCAATTTAAATTATAATAGTAATATGGGAAATGGATTTTTCAGAATTTGCAATGGACTTAACCAATTTCAAAAGCTTTGAAGATAATTAGTTTTCAACTGTGTAATTTAAACAGAGACAAATTGATTATTTTGGAAATTTACTGAAAAACTGTTCAAAAATTAAAAAAGTTAATTTAGGTGATTTTGACAAAAATGGGGCAGAAGAAATGTGTATAGAACTTTTTCAAGTCTCTGATACAATTGAATGTGTTGATTTCTTTTTTTCATATTTTAATAGAAAAAAATTTCAACAATTGATGTTAAAAAATGAAAAAGTTGATTAGTAAAACATTAAAGAGCTTTTTTACCTTAAAAAATTGTTAGCAGAGGGGAAATTGAAAAAATGGCAAAAGGAATAATGCATATTTAAACAGTCAAAATGTGTCAATTGGACAATTGGCATTCAGTTGTTTCTACTAAAATCAGGAAGTTGTAATACATGGGGCTTAACTACAGCATCTCTTAATTTGAAGAATGATTGTTTGGCTTCCTCAGTGCATTGTAATTTATCCTTTTTCCCATTTGGTTTCATTATTGTATACAGAAGTTTAGCCATCTTGCAAATCTTGTATAAACTTTCTATAATAGAAATGAAAAAGCTCCAAGAGTCTCTGGCGTACAGAGCAATTGGAATTCAACAGGGTTAGCCAACAGTACATTATGTAACTTGGTTTTAGTTATTTATTTAAATTAATTAAATCTATGCTAGTTTAGATACTATTATTATTATGATTATCAATACTGTCATGTGGTTTTTGACAAGTTATAACCACTCTTTTCTTAAATTCATGGAAGGTGGTTATACTGAACAAATCAATTTGTGTTGCAATAAGAATATATAAAAAGTGATTTTTTTAACAATTTCAATAAAATTACTCAATCAACAATTACAATGATTTGTCTTGGCTACATAAGCTGAAACTTGAGAGCCATGGCTATTGTCACCACTTTTTTAACAATGACTAATCTACATTAATAATATACACAAACTGGGAGCTGTATTTGCAAAGCACAAATAAAAATGGCTACGGAATCTAATGATAAAGAAACTGATGAATTGACAGCAGGAACTCGTGATTTAAAATTAGATTCTGTGCACTTTAAATGTAAAATAAAAATACCAATAAAACTACTGCTTCATCAAAGGTCAGACAGAACTGTCAAATCCTTGGATATAGCTACTGAGGATCATCCTAATGGAGTATTTTTCTACCCACGACTGGTGGACAATGTAATATTCTTTATATTAACAACAAATATTTTTATTGTAAAAATTTTATTTATTCTATTCCATTAAATTTATATAGGTTGGAGACACACAACAAACTATTAAATTATACAGCGATTGGGATAAAGAAAAAGGAATATTTCATTTGAAAACAATAAATCTCAACTTAGAAAAAAGAAAAATTACCATTTTTCCACGTGACTTTAAAGGAAATGAGGAGAAACCAGGACTTTTAACTTATAGTAAAAATATATATACAATACCTTTATTTTAAAAAATCAAGAAATGAAGAAAACATTTCTTTATACATTTAAACAGATGTTTCAAAGGATGGCAAATGTGATTTCGAAAAGTCTCAATTGATCATTGAATGGAATCAAGATACAAGCATGAATGCAACTTTGGAGGAAAAATTGGATAGAGTTCGGAATATAAGAATTGGAACATTTAATATTAAAAAGGGAAAGATTGAGCAAGAAATTTCAAAAGTATTAGACATTTCTTTTGGTATTTTCATCACAATTTAGAATTTCTTTCAGCTCATACAAAATTTTGATTTGCTTGCCTTACAAGAATTGCCAGTCAGCCCTGCAGATTATGGAGAAATATTGAAAAATTTAAATAAACAGCTAAATGAGAAAAATCAATGTCCATATTACATAATAATTGGCGGAAAATTCCACAATGAAAACTCTGCTTATCTTTACAATACAAAATATTTTGTTAATATTTGCAACACTGACAGTAAAGATTTGGATTGTGCAAAAACATGGGAGACTGAAAAAGAAAATCATAAAATGTTGATGCATCAATTTTTTCGACCACCACTTATTGTTTCTTTTCAAACAAAATATTGTGAATTGGATACATTTACCTTTATTTCTTTGCATACTAGTCCTAATAAGAAAGCAACAAGTAATCGAATTGAAAAGATATTTTATTGTTACCCTTCAACAGCTGAAGAGATAGAGACTCTTTTCAAATTGTCAAAAGATATAACAGCAAAATATGATGATGAGGTTGTGATTCTCTTGGGAAAAAAATATTAGGTCATTCCATACTATTTTCAAACAGTAAATTGTAATTTTTTTTCAGCATTTTAAAAATTTGATTATTGGTGGAGATCTTAATTGGTCTGAACAATATCTTTCACATGAGCCAAATGTACCAAAAGGATTTACTTTATGTACCCCAAAGATCAATACCAATCAAATTAAAACAGAAATATATGACAGGTATAATAGTAATTTGTTTAGTAATTTCTCTTATTATTGATATTAAAGGTTATACATATATGGAACTGACTTGGAAAAAGCTATAATTAGAAATAGTGGAACAGTTTATTACAACGGGTACAGGAGAAAACGTCCACTGGAGAAAACGTCCACTGTTTGGAGAAAACGTCCACTGCTTGGAGAAAACGTCCACTGGAGAAAACGTCCATTATAAAACTTCAAAGTAAGATATAAGATATTTGATAGATGGAGTTTTTAGAGCAATTTGACAGGAAAAAATGAATAATAAGAATTACAAATATTTAAATATTAATATATTGATTAAGTAAAAAGAAGCAATATAACAAGAATGATTGACAACAGTGTAACAACATTAAAGAATAAAGGTATTTTAAACTGGTGAATAAATGTCAGAAGCTTTATCAAGTAAGTCCAGGGAGGTAATTGAGGCAATTTCAAATTGTTCCCATAAGCTGAATATTTTGCTCTGAATATTCTGATATGCTTTTCTTTGCTGTCTACAAATTTTCTTTTCACTCAGTAATTTTTTATATAGCTTTATCAGATCAGCTTCTCTTTTCAGTTCATCTAAAAGCAAATAGAATGCAGTGTTAGAGCAAAGATTCTTGTTAAGCCTGTGATGCCATCCTTCAAGATCATTATTTGTCCTTATAGCCTCACCATAAACAGACCATACCTCTGGTTTATAAAATCCATTTATCCATTGTGTCTCAATGTACTCCAATAGAGACTTCATTTCAATAGGACTTATTTCTTTAATAGTCTTAAATGTTGGTTCTATCAGATCAGAGGGCAGGAATGGTAATGCCATTAATTTCTTCATGATTCTATATTCAGCTTTTTTCTCCTTGTACATCTTACATAATCCTAATTCCTGGAAATAAATATGTCAGTTCTATCTAGACCTCAAATACTAAATTAAAGTATTACTTGAATCTTTCTGTATATTGCCTGTGTCCAGTGAAAAACACACCCTTTAATGTTTGCTTCAGGATAAGTGAATGATAGTGCTTTCCAAATAGCTTTTTCAAAGTCTACAACAACTTTTTTGGGGCTATGCCCATTTGTTAAATCTTGTATTGCCTGTTAATTTAACAAATTAGATTATTCAATTTAAAATGCAAAATTATTGTACCTTAAATAATTTCTTGTAGGCTGTCTTTCTCTTAGATCCCATAAAAGCAAAAGCCATTGGAATTTGTTTTATTTCTCCATTTTTTTTATAAATCCATGAATAGAAAAAAGTTGATAAAAAGGGTCTTTCACACATTTAAATGTGCCATCCATAAACCATATTTTGCCTTTAGATAATAATTCAATTTGCTTTGTAGTTGAAAATATTAGTATTCTATCATTCTCCATTTGTATATCCATTGTAAAAAATCATCAGGAATAAAAGTTTTAGCCAAGTTGAAGTGAATACTTTGAGGTTCAGCTGGTCTAAACTTCTTTCTTGTCCAGTTTGCCAGTCTTGTACAATTATCTAGAGATGGAATAACTTCACCAGAACTACAATGTTTCACCAGAACATCTTCAGCTAAACGTTTTCCTGAACTACTGATATCTTTATTACAAGCATTTTTTAGTTCATTCCTAATCATTATTTTTTGTTCCAAATCAGGTACTCTTTCATGAGAATGGATAACTTTCCAGGATAAAAACTGTTCCCATGCTGACTAACTGTTGCTGAACATTTGTTTCTTTTGTTCCTAACACTGCATATCCAGAAGTTGTCTTGTTTCTTTTTTCTTTAATATTGTAGCAGAAATTGTTGAAAAGTAGCAAATCTTTTCCTTTCTGGCTCATTCCCTTTAAGATTTTAAATGAATAACTTTCTTTCTCACAATCTGATTTTGGAGAAACTATAAATGAAACTTCCATCATATTATTTTGCTGAGCTGGAAGATCTTCAACTAAAACATTGTGTGATTCCATAATACTGCCATTTGTATCATTTCCACTTGAATTTCCACAATGATTTTCACAAACAATAGTTTGCTCATTTCTATTATTTGCTGTATCAAAATTTGGTGTTTGTCTTATTTCTTCATTAGCAGATGCACTAGAAGTAGCCTTTGAAGTGCAACAATGCATTTCTTCATTGATATGTCACAGCAAATGTTACAATAAAATGATTGATCTGTGAAAAAATATAAAAACATATTTGTAAGGAAGGATAGTGACAAAAAACTTAAACAAACCTTTATAATCCAAACATTTTTTATTATTAAATAAATGACAGCAAAGCTGACATTCTCTTGTGCCATGTTCAATTTGGAATCTCTATCAATAACCAACTGTATAAATTTAAAAATAAACAATTAACAATAATGATAAACAAAAATGCTCTATAAAAAAAGCTAATTTATATATATAAAGTTATACATATATGGAACTGACGGAAAAAGCTATAATTAGAAATAGTGGAACAGTTTATTACAACATAACATTCAGTGACCACTTCCAGTTGGATTTGAAATTCAATTCAAGATAAACTTAGAGGAGAAAATTCCTAAAGAATAATTCATGTTCCATTTCAAATGAAAATCAGTTGAAAAGTTTGCAAGATTATTTGATCCATTTACATAATGAAACCTCACAATTTGTTTGATATATGTGGCAAAAAAATGATTACTATACATGCCAAAGATGTATCAAGTTGAAAAGCATCTTGATGATCATATTTTCAAAAATATTCTTCGAAGCAATATAACACATTTTTTATGAAGACTTCAATATATATTGTGACAATAATAATCATGAGAATACTCATGTATTACAGATTTGAAAAGAAATTGCATAATATTTACACAGAAAAATAGATTTGAAGAAGACTGTTGTCAAAAATACAAAGAGAATTATAATAAAATTGTGGAAAATATTCAGCAAACTTATAATATAAATGTAAATGTGCTGCATTCTACAAAAAAATTCAGTTATTTAAATGTACGATATGTCTACAAATGACAAAATCATTATATATAAAGATGATTTATTAAATCTGTGAAAAATACTATCTCAATTTTCTGGTAAAAAGTAAATTCCAGATCCTATTATCACTGAACAATGACTAACTGACTAAAAGTCACTTTTCTGATTCATTTATGTAAATCTTTTTCAAGTTTGAAAAGTGCACTTGGAAATAATGCATAATATATTTAGACCTTAGATAGATAGAACTTTAGAAAGACTTTCTTTTAGCCATTAAAATGTGGAACATTGAAAAAGCTTTTATTCCTAGAAATTATAATGGTGGAAGTTAGAAAGATTTTTATTTCATAGAAATTTATTGTGGACTTTAGAAAGTCATTATTTCGCAGGAAATAGATTCTTTGACCATAACAGATGGTCCACTTTGGAATTAACAAAGGAACAAACAATATAGAAAAATGCATGTCAAAGTTGTTACATCTTTTTCAAAAACAGATATGGAAGAGCAGGTTTGCTTTTGAAGTGCCACATGCTAACCATGTGTATATAACAGTTTTCATGTTTTGTTGTCATGCATTATGAGACTGTTTCATTTCAACAGAGTAATTTCAATTAAACTCTTAGCAGTCATTTATTTGAGATCTATCAAAACCAAAAGTAGAAGACATGTTTTCTTTCACACAGTGCATGACACTGTAATTTATTAGAAAATATTGGAATATTTTGTATAATAATTCATAACAGATGTCGTTGCAGTCAATGAAGAAAGATAGAACATTCCCCATTTAAAACACATGAAGAAAAAATCCTCAACTACTTTTTAAATGTCCTATATCTATTTCACACTACTAGAATTAGATTAATTACATCTTCCGTTAGATGGAGCACTGATACTTATGTAATTTGAAACTACAGCAGTATTTCAAAAGAAATTAAATGTAGATATTTTGTCAAAAATCTACAGTGTTTTGTTGTCCATTGCAATAAAATCTATACAAAATTATGCCTATACATTGAATAAATTATGGTTTAGAACTTCAATAAACAAAAAAATGAAGAATCCTTTTGTTCTTTGTTCCTTTGCCAATTCCATAGTAGCTCCATCAATTATGTTAAAAATCTATTGCTTATGAAATTAGAATTACTTCTTTAATTCTATCATTCTAAGTTGTATGAAATAGAAGCTATTCTAAAGTTCGTTTAAATCTGAAGTCTATGACATAAGATTAGCTGATTGGAATGAATGATAAGAGTTTAATTTTATATAATAATAATTGTCATGTGTTTTAAACTATAACCATGTTTTCCTAAATCCATGCATTAGTTAAAAACCAAAAAACATGACAAGTATACTCTGGAAATCAGGAAATAGAAATGATATGTTGACAAATTTGAAAATATTCTATCTGGTATTGCTAAGTCAAAAAATACTTTAAAACATATTGAATTTATTTCTTGCAAATTGACAAATAAAAATTGTGAATCTATTAA